AGCACTAATATGTCCATGGAAATACTAGAAACGGAGGCAAAGAGCAGCGGAGCCACTCACCGGAGGTCACGCAACGAAAGGCACAGCACGGGTGTGAGAGCCGTCAGCCTGGCTCCTGACTTGGCCGCGAATGCTGTGATGTACCAGTACCGCCTGTCCCACCCACCCGGGGGTCAGCCTGCCTGTGAGGGACTCCCTGCACGCAGCCCCCACGCGGACGGGCCTGGGTGGCCAGCGGGCCTGGCGTTCGCATCGCCCACCCTGACAACCGCCTCAGCCCTCGGTGTCTCCCAAGGCTCCCCGCCCTGCTCTGCGCCTCACTCTGTGCCACCACCGGCAAAGGGAACCGATGGGAGCGGGAAGATGGAGATGAGCGTACCGACGGGCACCCCGGCGAAGCTCCCTGGCTGCCCTGGCACAGCCGACACCCGCCACGCGCCCACGCCTGTCCATCCCAGCGGTGCCTTCCTGGAAAGCCGTCGCTCGGCCCGCCCGAGGTGCTGGTCCGTCTCCCACCTGGCTTCACTGTCGCCTCCTCCGGAAAGTCGGCCCACATGCCATCCAGGGCTCCGTCCTCCCTCTCTGGCCTCCCTCCACATTCTGTTCGCAAGTCATGGCGGGTGCTGATACCCTGAAGAGTAACTGTGTTTTGTCTCTGCATCAAGAAATCAAACATCGATTCCTTGTTGCACGTGCTGGACGCTGTGGACAAGAAGGCATGACCGCCGTCATCAATCATGTGAGTATCATGGGGACAGCCAGACAAAAGGCGTGATCACTCCGCTGCACGGTAAGCACCCTGCTCTGGAGGCGCACACAGAGTCAGACAATAGAGAAGGACCGCCCCGGACACAACGGGGGCCACGGACGGGTTCCAGGCGAGGATGGGGCTGTCTCGCTTCCTCGACGGGACCCACTTGAAGGCAAGGGCTGCGTTCTACGACGCTGACCAAATGCTCCAGAAAACGTTAAAACTCAGATTCAGGTTCTTGAGGAAAACCCAGTGGCTCTCAGGTTCCCCGGGGGGTGGGGGGGGGGGCATTACACACCCATCACAGCAGCTCAAGCACAGCCATGGCCACTGGGCTACCTGGGGAGGGACCAGCCCCACCAGGAAGGCGGAGTCTCCCCGTCTTAGCGACGCCGAGTGCACAGCCCGCCCTTCCTTCCTAAACCACTTTTTGGGGTTGTTCTGTTTAAAGTCGGGAGGAAAAAATAAACTCCTCCATATTCACAAATTTAAATCTGAAATGATTTCCTCAAGTCTTGGGTTTCTAAAATAGGTCAATCCTTCACGCATTTAGAGAAGACATCGACGTGTGAAGCTCCTGACAGACATTGCGAGCAAATTGCCTGCGACTCTGATTCTTGCTTCTGGTAAAATGGAGATTAAAAAAAAAAAAAAATTACAGAACCTTCATCTTTTTGTCAGAAATAAAAAGGTGTCCCTAGGCTTTTCAATTCACATTTAAAAAATGCGTTTTCATAAATAACCTTTTCACAATCTGTACTCTGTTTTAATTTGTCACCATGGAAAACAAGGTAATTGAAGCAGTTTAGAGATTAGTTAACTGTCAAAAAAAAAGAAGCAGCAGTCACTGCACTGGGAGGTTCCGCCGTCGCTACAACCTCCTCAGCGCTAAATCCCCAAACTATTCGGGTAATTAAAACTTCAGGGGAGCTCTCCGAAGAATGGGAGTATCACTTCACAGAATCTTTCCACGGAATCTAGGTTAAAGAATTGAGCGCCAACCTGTGAACCAAGAGGTCACAGTTCGATTCCTGGTCAGGGCACATGCCCCGTTTGAGGGTTTGATCCCCCATGTGGGGCGTGCAGGAGGCAGCCGATCAATGATTCTCTCTCATCATTGATGTTTCTCTCTCCCTCTTCCTCTCTGAAATCAATAATATATATATTTATATATATATATATATATATAGAACTGCATGTACATTTCAAATATATATACACACTTTAACACTCAATTTTCACTCCTCAACTGATTTGAAATAATGGGTGAAGCCAGACTAAGTTTGGAACAAAGAAAATTTGTCCAATGCGCCACAGAACTTTTTTTTATGGGGATACAGAAAAGATAAAGTTATGGTACAAAACGGGAAACAGTCGAGGAATTGAGGGTGCAGCCGAACAAGAGGATTTCCGATGTCTGCGATGCCACTGCTTCGCGTTAGCAGCAGTGCCTGGACCAGGACGGTCATCAGTTCAAAGACAGGCGTTGATAAGAAAATTATTCACACCTGCAGGTTATTTTAAATTGTAATAATAAACTGTGTTAGTAACACTGACTGTGTAATCACGCAAGTGCACATACGCTGTCTATGTGGCTTTCCCTAGCGACCTCCCGATACTCCCCGTCGTCGACATTCCAGAAGAGAGTATTCTTACGCCAGAGGAGGAGACGGTGGCCCCTGTCCTGCCATGTCACCAAGCAGGGGCCGCGTGTGGCAGCAGCAGCGGCTTCCTCAGGACAAGCCTCCTCTCTTGCAGCTTCGGGGCCACGTGGAGCACAGGGGGCAGGTTTCTGCTCCCGCTCCGAACGGCCTCTTCGATGCTTTAACCGGGACTCAGTTACTGGGCGGGAGTCGTCCTCCTCCGGCCACATCTGCATTGTCCAACCTGAGAGCGCGTGAGGGAGACAAGGTGGAGACGACAGACACCAGCCCCCCGGGAAGGATCCCCACACCTGCCTCTCGGTCACGGTCCTGCTGGTGGAGGAGCTGGCGGCCTGGTTACTATGGCAGGTGTGGTAAGAACAGGGGTGAACAGGATCCCGGCCAACCATAAGGCAGACAAGGTGGAGGCCACGCCCTCCCAGGGCCCTGCGGGTGGGTGAAGCTGCGGACAGGAGGTCAGCTGTGGAGTATAATCCACGAGCTTCCTGTGCGCACTTGCTGCTGAGTAGAAAGAGGTAAAAGCCACCCACCCATCCAGCCAGCCAGCCATCCTTCCAGGTGCCCCCTCAAGAAATAAATGAAAAGTGATCCATGGCTGTCCTCCCACAGGTCCCAGTCCAGGGAGGGGGGAGACCGGAATGACCCTGGGAATGCTGGCGGTCAGCTCCTCTGAGCTTCGAAGTCGCCAGTGTCGCCATGCAGGGAGGCGTCGGTGCAGACAGCAGCGTGAGCGGAGGTCCGGAAGCTGTTGGCAAACAGTGGTTCGCAGCATTTCCTTAAAATCCTTCGTCTTTGATGACAGTTGTCACTTCTCCACTCTCATTTCTGGTTTTAGTTATTTGAGTCCCCTCTCTTTTTTCTTGATGAGTCTGGTTAAAGGTGTGTCAATCTTGTTTATTTTTTCAAAGAACCAGCTCTTGATTTCAGTGGTTTTTTTTGTACGTTTTTTTTAAGACTCTATTTTGCTTGTTTCTGCTCTGGACTTTATTATTTCCTTCCTTCTACTCACTTTAGGTTTTCTTCGTTGTTCTTTTTCAGGTGTCAAGTTAGTGTGTGTTTTCAGTTTCCTTCTTGTGACTGATTTAAAATTTCATGGCATTATGGGCAGAGAAGATGCTTGATATGATTTCAACCCTCTTATATTTGCTGAGACCTGTTCTGTGTCCTAACGTGGTCTCTCCTAGAACATGCTCCATGTGCACTTGGAAAACACGTACATTCCGCTGCTTTGGGGTGAAACGCTCTGAAGATATCAATTGCATCCATCTGACCTAGTGTGTCACTTAAGGCCACTGTTTCCTTGTTGATTTTCTGTTTGGAAGAGCTTTCCATTCATGTCATGGGTGTTAAATTCCCCTCCTATGACTGTATCCCTGTCAGTCTCTCCCTTTATGTCCTGTGCTCACTGAAGTGTTATTTACAATAGCCAAGATTTGGAAGCAGCCCAAGTGCCCATCAGCAGATGAGTGGGTAAAAAAATTGTGGTACATTCACACAATGGAATACTACTTGGCCGGAAAGTAAAAAAAAAAAGAAGAAGAAAATTTACCCTTTGTGACAACAAGGATGGTCCCGGGGAGTATTATGTTAAGTGAAGTCAGCCAGTCAAAGGAAGACCAATACCACACGATCTCACTCCTATGTGAACTCTAATGAACAAAACAGACTGAGAAACGAGACAGAAACAGACTCTCGGAGAGAGAACAGACGGGCAGAGGGGAGCGGGGTTGCAGGGCTGGGTGGAAAGGCGAAGGGCTTAAGGAAAAGTGCTCACAGGCACGGACAGCAGAACGGCCATTCCCAGAGGCAAAGGGAGGTGAGAGGAGGCGGAAGGGCAAAGGGGGCATAAACAGTGATGGAAGGAGGCAGGACTTGGGGTGGTGAACACAACATACAATGTATAGATGACGTGTCACAGAACTGTACGCCTGAACCCTATGTAATTGTATTAACCAACGCCACCCCAATACATCCAATTAAAAGAAAATAAAGAGCAAAACATGAATACCAACTGGGTCCCGCACTTCAGCCCTGTCACTGCCTCCCTCTCTCTGACGACAGTCACACCCTTGTCCTTTAATCCTTCCGATTACTGATGTGGAACATCTGTCCACTACTAATGCTCTTCCTTTACGGTAAACTGGGAAGTGACAGCAAGGATCCGAGGGGTTTGTATTCTCGTAAAAGAATTCCTCTCCCCACCCCCCAGCCAGTTTTCAGGGTTACATTTTCCTCCTCGCATGTTCAGTAAGTCTAGGGACCCGATCAAAGAATTACTGGATGGGGAATGAGAAAAACTGATGTGCCTGAATCTAAAAAACGGTGAATTTCTGTTTTTTCCCCTGAGAAGGTTGTCGGCTAAGAATCCATATTGGGCAGCAGAGCGTACGAGGAAGCCCTGCGGTGTGGAGACGGCCCGGCACGCGCAGGCAGTGGCTGTTAAATGACTGGATTACGAAGAGGGGCCCGAGGTGGAGTGTGAGAGGGTGTTACGTGAACACCCTACAGAAGCGTGGCGACATGCGCCTTGAGCTTCGTCGTGAACTCCAGACCCACCACCCAGAGTCATCGTCAGCAGCTCGGACTCAGCTGGTGGGTGAGCGAGGCTCTTTCTCCTCCCGCTTCTGTGCCTCCAGCACCAAGTGCTTGTCCGGCTCTCAGTACGCACGGCTAACACACCAGGGGGACAGCCAGGAAGGGACCGAGGTGAGAGAGGGTCCCTGGCTGGGGTAGGTGCGTCGGGTCAACCCCATCGTCAGAGCTGCTGTGATGCCGTCACTTACGTAATCGCCGTAGGCCTCCTGCGTTGGGGGTGGCGGTGGAGGTCTGTAGCCGGTTGGGGGGACTCCTCTTGCTCTGGGGGTGAGAAGGCCTCGTCCCCGACTCACAAGCCCTCGGGTGGAAAGGACTCCCCTGGACGCCGACGCCCCTCGTGGGGCCACAACGCCAACGGGCCGGGCGGTGACGCCTCCCCTGCCCCTGCAAGCAAGAGGGACAGGTTAGCAGCGTCTGTCAGGTTCTCTGACGTCCCACCGTCCCACCGACACCTCAGAGGAATCCACGGTCCCGTAAAAGAAAGGAGGGGCCGATCTGCGAAGGAGCAAGAAAAGCAAGAGAAGCAGCGAGTGTCCACCAGAAAGAAGCCCGCTGGGCAGCTGGCCCCGCGCCGGGAAACCGGGAGCATCAGAGACACCCACGATTTCGCTGAGACCCTAACCCTGCCCTCATCAATACATCAAGTATTTTTTAAAGACACACACAACAGCACTTACTGAGGCAACAAAAGAGGTGAAATGAAATGCTTTGGCACACAGCTAAGAAAATGTGCACAGAAACCATGTTAAAAAAAATACAAGACTCTGAGGAGGGAAATGAAAGAGAAACAAACAGTCCAAGTTCATGGTTTTACGAGTCAATAGGGCTAAGTTGCCAATTCTTCCCGACTTGATGTATGGACTCAGTGCGATCCCCATCCAAATCCCAGCAAGCTATTTTGTAGCTGGACCAACATATTCTAAAGTACACAAGGAAAGAAAAAAACAAAAACAAGAGACAATACAGTGCTCCAGAAGAAAACTGTTGGAGGACTCAATGCCTGACTGCAAGACTCACTTAAAAGCTACCGTAACCCAGAGAGTGAGGACTGAAGACAGGACTAGACACACAGATCGATGGGCGAAAGCACAGAGCCCAGAAATCGATCCACAGAAAGAGCCCAGAGATCACTGACAAAGAAGCAAAGACAGATGAACAATTTTTACCAATGCCAATCACTCCGGACTGCACTGGAAGACACTGTAATTTCTAGCGTGCCTCGTTCATCCTTTTACCTCTGGTACACGTCTAGAAAAGTCTTCAATGTGATCAGAAGAAAAACGCAGTTTCCATTTGCAGTGCATCTAACCCACTGGTGGTATTTCAGCTGATCTGTGTATATTCCAGCCAAGGAAGGCACCTGCTTCCTTATCCAATACCCCTCCATGGCCATCCACGGTACTATAAGGGCCATGAAACAGTCACTATGTCTTTTGAATATATAAACGCGTGTCTTTCATCAAGTTGAAAGACATGCATTTATATATTCGAGAAGTTCACAATTCCTCCCCATCATCATGGACACTGTTAGATCGTGGGCCTGTGGGGTGTACGGAGTCACACCGAGGTGCCTGCTACAGAATTTCAGACAGGTCGTGTGAGAGGTGTAGCTCCAGACACTTATCTGTCAAAGATGATCTGAAGATTCATTTTCAAGGGAACGTCGATGGGAATGGAGTCAAGCAGCAGTGAGAGTACGGCTTTAAATGATACCTCGGGGAGAGGAAGGCGTGATGCCCAGTGACATGCTAACACACAAGCCCTGTGATATGGCGAAGTACTCACTGAACGCTAAATCGAGGCTCAGGGCAGAGCTGCACTGCGGGGCTGGGAACAGAAAAAGGCCTGTTGGCTGAGATTACAGTGATAATCTGTGGGAGTTTTGTTTTTGTTTTTTTCTTGAAAAGTTTGTTCAAACTGACAGAATCAGGGTGCGGCGCTGTTCTCAACGAGGACACGGAAGAGCAGAAAGGTAACACAACTGAGCAGAGGGCTTCTTACGCGGATGGACGGACGGATGTGGTTGTAATGGTTCCTTCTGTTTACAGTGTTTTCAGCAGAGTGACCAGGGTTTCTGGCTTTGAACCTCAAATATAAAAATAGCCCAGAGAGGTTTCTGTAGGGAACAGCTATTTTGGAGGGAACAGGGCTTTAATCGGCCGATGACAATAAGTATGGATTAATCAGAAATGAATTATTTAGCTTGTCAGTTAGTAGCAGGTTTTAAGATATGACAAAAAGGCACATGCTCTGGGTTCCAACATGCCCAGATCTACTCTGTCACGTCACTGCTTCGCCTTGGTTTTCCCATCTGTAAAGTGGGTTTCATAACATGAGCTCTCGCAGGACGGATGCGAGGTTCACCCACAGGACACATAGAGTGCCGAGAGCAGGCGCCGGTGAGCGGTGATGATCACGCAGACTCCTCCGTGGCTCTGTCCTGATGCCACTGTCTGCTGCTTCCTGGAGGAGGAGGAGGGCGCTGCGGGAAGGTACCACTCCACCCAGTCCTCACGTCACAGATGTAGCAACAGTGCACTGATACACATTGTGTACATTAGCGACAGTAACAGTGTGGCAGAGTGAGAGTGAACCTACTGCACTGTTTGGCTTTTATTCCTAAATTCTACGAGCAGCAGGAAAATAGGGTAAAGCCATAGATTTGGCGGCAGCAGCCGGGACGTGCAGGCAGCGCCAGCATGTTAACCAGTGACCATGGGAAACGCAGGTGCGGCCTGGGCCGCAGGAAGGGGAGACCCCCAGGTGTCTGCGGGATCGGGCCTCAGGGCCTTCGCCTCAAATCTGTGTCCCAGTGAGATCCACGTGCCCAGGGATCCATGTGAGGCCCGCGCCTGGTGCAGGAATGGCCTGTGGGGTCATTCACTTCCGCTGCGGAACCCCTCATGCATTTGACAACTTTTCCTCCTCCCTGGGAGCGCGCTTCCGAGAGGACAGCTTCATCATTCGGTGGCTCCCTTCCTGCCGGAGGCTGGCGGGAAGGAGGGCGAGACACGGAAAAGGCGGGCGCAGCCGTAGCTCCCACCCCTCAGCAGGCAACACTGTCAGGGCCGATGGAGACCGAGACTTCCCAACAGGTGCCCTGGCCCTCGCCGGTGGGGCTCAGGGAATGAGCGTCGGCCTGTAGACTGAAGGGTCCCGGGTTCCATTCCGGTCAAGGGCACACACCTGGGTTGTGAGCTCGATCCCTAGTGGGGGACGTGTAGGCTGGCAGCTCCCCCCCCACCCCGGCCCCGGGCACCTGTGGAGATCAGTGGGGCTCCAGGGCAGGCTCCTCGGGGGTTCCCGTGCATCCGCACCCCCGGGACCTTGTCTCCAAGCAGAGACTCCCTCAGCAGACCGGGGGGCTGGGGGGGTTTGGGGGGCCTCTTTCCAACCACCTCTCATGTGCTGTGCTGCTGCTGCGGCTGCTGGTTTGGACCCGGAGGCTACTGACTGTTGTGAAACCTGCTGGTTCTCTCACGTCTTTATTGTGATCCGTCCAATCTTCTATGTAATTTTTTAAAAATGACTGAGCCACACTGTGCAGAGTATGAAAGAGAGCCAAGGCGTCCTGGCTGGTGTGGCTCAGTGGATAGAGCATCGGCCTGCGGACTGAAGGGTCCGGGTTCGATCCCGGTCAGGGCACATGCCGGGTTGCAGGCTCGACCCCCCAGTGTGGGCCGTGCAGGAGTCAGCCAGTGATTCTCTCTCATCATCGATGCTTCTATCTCTCCCTCTCCCTTCCTCTCACAAATCAATAAAAATATATTTTTTAAAAAGAGAGAGAGAGCGCGATCCAAGGCAATTTGCTCTGTCTCCAATAAGTTACACAGGGTGATTAGCGACACTGTGGGCAACAGAAGACAGCGTGTGAGGAAGCCAAGCTCTTCGACAGCACGGGAAGCGGTCCACCCTCTTTCCTCCAGGCTGTACCTGCCCCAAACAGAGAGCTGGCTCCTCACTCTGAGGCCTGTCGCTGTCTTCTAATGCGGGTGGTCCGCACCTTTTCCCTTTTCTTTATTCAAAAACAAAAGTAGGAAAAATCTTTATCGCTTCCAATCAGGGCTCCGGGACTCCCGGCACGCGTCATCTCCCTCTCATAACAGCGACATCGATGATAAGGGAGCCGAGGGAGGCGTGGGGTTCGTTTAAGGTCCGATAGCGAGGGGCTGACCCAGCATCAGCGAGAAAAATTCAACTGTGAGTGTGGGGTCCTTTCGAGTGATCGGAAAAGGAATCAGTCCGGTTTGGACTGGGATTGGACATTTAAAAAATGAATCTAGTTTCATCTTAAAAGATCTTTAAGACGGTGAATTCCAACTGGAAGGGTGGTACAACCAGGTCCGGAAGGACAGGAGATGTGATGACAGGACACAGTGACCCGGGGGAGAGCGGCCTGACCATGAGTAACGGACACCTTAGGGCGGCTGCAGGCACCGTATTCTGACGACGGAAAGAGCCAGCAGCGAGTGACGGCCTACCTGCCTGTCGTCGGGGTCGGGACGCCTCTGGTGCGCGAGGCGGACTTCCCTCGGGCGGTGGGGGCGTCCGCGCTTTCCGAGCCGCCGTTCAGGTATGTCAGCTCCTGCAGCTGCGCCTGGCGGATCTCATCGTTGTAGTCCTGGGGAGACAGGCAGCGTCACCGCCGCGAAGACACCGGAGTGGTCAGAACATGGAGCAAAGGGGCTTTAAAAGATGTTTTTATTGATGTCAGAGAGGAGGGAGAGCGAGAGAGAAACATCAGTGATGAGACAGAGTCATGGACCGGCTGCCTCCTGCACACCCCACACTGGGGATCGAGCCTGCAACCCGGGCCTGTGCCCTGACCGGGAATCGAATTGTGTGACCTCCTGGTTCATAGGTGGAAGCTCAACCACTGAGCCACACTGGCCGGGCAGCACACAATTTTTTTTAACAGAGGAAAGGGTTAGGAAAATAGTTGACCTCATAAAACAAGCTTTGAGTTTGTTAAAATGAAAATGTATCAGTACGTTTTAAAAAGTGAAAAAACACAGCATTGTTCCCCAAGGTGAAATTTCCTACCATCAGCCATAACTCTTCCCCCTCAGGCATGAATTCCAGGCGAAACATTTATAATGAAGTTAAATCGCACGTGACAGATACATGGGCAAGGCCACTCACAACTCAATTCCACCGGCCGCCGCCGAGCACCTGTGAGGCGCCGAGCAGCAGACGCAGGCGGGGCCGGCCGGGACCTGCACGCTCTTCCCTACATTTCCATTTGGATGTTGCACACGGAGCAAAAATGCAACGTTTCCAAAACCCAGCACATCATCTGGTACTGGGAAACCTGCCCTTCCGTGTCCTATATTCCTGTCCCCACGGCCACCTGAGGGGCTCTGGGAGTCACCCCTGACTCCTCCTCTTTCCTAACTCCCCGGCTCCATCAACCACCGGCAAGAACCATGTGTAACCAGCAGAGAAAAGTGTGACTTAGTTCACAATGAAAGGGAAGTTCAGATGTGCGTGACCGGACAGGAGCGGCAGCTCACTCAGCTGGAGGAGGAAGGGGGTTTCTGCAGGCATCACCCAAGGGTGAGTGTGAACTAATTGCTGGAGAGGGGGCACCGCCGTGTTCCCGACGGGGTGGGGGGGGCGTGTTTTAAGACCAACGGACGGGCATGTTGCGCTCACTGCAAGCGGCAGGGGAGCTGAGGAGCAGGGCCCGGGTCAGTGTGCGTACGGACGCTTTCTCTGACGTGTCTGCGGCCCTGGGACCCCAGGAGACTCACCGGGACGCAGCAGTAGCTCGACCTCTCACAGCCCACCTATAAATACGTTTCCTGCCAGGTGACTGAAAGCGTGTGAGGATCAGTAAGTTATTTGTAAAGCACACTCTAAATAAAACGTGCCGCACGAACGCTGAACGCTTGCCCCGCTGCAAGTGTGAGGCGGCGTGAATCGTTCAGGTTAAAAATAGATCCCGGGAAGAAGCGGACGGGGCCCTGTTCCCACACACGGAGGGCACGGGGTCTGTGTCCGCGAGCCATGCACTCCCCGGGCGATTCCAGGGTCACAGAAGGGCGAGGACTCGAGTCCCCCCACTGGGACCAGGGACTGTGCCCCTCCACTTCCTCACTCGTGTGACCTCAGCAGCCTGATGTAATCTCTGAAGATCTGCGGTCCCACAAGGAAAGGAGGGATGATGACCAGTCATTAGTGGGGACAGGGCGAGGTCTCCTGGCCATGACGCAGGCGAGGGTCCGGGGTAGACAAAGGGCCCTGCAAGCACCAATGGCTGCTTCGTCACCAAGGACCTGAGTAAGGGAATGCCTGGCCGGTGTGGCTCAGTGGTTGAGCATCGACCTATGAACCAGGAGGTCCCGGTACGACTCCCGGTCAGGGCACAGGCCGGATTGCCTCCTGGATCCCCAGTGTGGGGCGTGCAGGAGGCAGCCCATCTGATCCATGACGCTCTCTCATCATGGAAGTTTCCCTCTCTCCCTCTCCCTTCCTCTCCGAAATCAATAACAATATCTATTTAAAAAGAAAAGCAAAACCCGTGAAGGAAGAAGTTGAGCTGCACTGACGGGGATGAGGAACTTCTTGATCTCCTCCAGGGCGTGGCCCATGCGGGCGTAGGCCTCGGCGGGCGGGGCGAACACCTCGATGAGGACGTGCAGGTCGTCGTGGAGGTGGAAGTACTTGGCCTCCCCGCTTTTCCTCAGCTCTTCCTCCTGCGGAAACACAAGGCTGGTGGGAGGATGTGTCGTCGGGAGGAGAGAGGGAGACGAGGAAATCTACCCAGAGCTCTTCGCACGTGGCTGTGCCGGAGGATCCGCCCCGAGCCAACGCCACCTGAGGAAGAGAGTTAAAGCATGAACGGGTCCTGCCATTCTGACCCCAGGCTTTCAGGAAAACGCCCAGGCTTCCAGCTGGCACTCAGTCTCAGCTCCTGTCTGGGGCCTGGGAGCCCCGCCCCTGCCCTCTGCCCCCCGCTGGGCTCCCCGCCTCCTCGGGCCCCTCCAGGCTCCGCACAGACCGCCTTCGTGGTCCTCGCACCTGCTACGCGGCCCAGCTCGCTCCTGCACTGGTCAGGCTGTGGGCCCGCGGTGCCGTGATCAAGTCCTGACCAACCTCCAAAATGCCTACGCACCTTCCTGTCCCTCGGCCCTTGCCTAACCCCTCTCGCTGCAGCGATTGCATGGAGCGCAAACCCCACGGTCCCTCTTGGTGCTGCAACCTTCTTACTCAGAAAAGGGCTCGGCACAGAGCAGATGCCCAACAGATACTCACTGAGTGCGTGACTAGTTATCTATTCATGTCTATGGCCACTGGCTGATGCAGGCGTCATTCAAAAAGCGTTTCCACATGCCAGGCACTATACCCTCCCTGAGGACACAGCGGTGAACAAGACAAATGGTGGGCTTTGTTAGACAATTGTACATAATCGTGATACACATCTTCTAATTTGTTGGTGGTTGTTTACACAATGAAATTAGGGGGAAATTAGGAGGAAAAAACCAGATAATTAAGGGACCAGTGATTTTGCTACATCATCTTTATCTTTTTTTCTTAAGATTTTTTTTAATTGATTTTAGAGAAGGACGAAGGGAGAGGGAGAGGGAGAGAGAGAAACATCGATGTGAGAGTAACACATCACTGGCTGCCTCCTGCACGGCCCCCCCTACTGGGGATCAAGCCCACAACCTGGGCCGGGAATCAAACAGGCAACCTCTCCTGCCTCCAGGACAGATGAGTCTGGGAAACAAAGCATCAATCAGGACAGGAATGTTAGTGAGTGGGTCCTTACGCTGACCTGGCCGTGAAGGGGAGTTATTTCACACACCTACTGAGAATTCACCTAAACAGGCCGGGGCCTGGGTGCTCTCTACTGTTACACGGCGTCCCATGGGCATCTGATGCACCGCCATGCTTTCATCAAGTAAGAGAATGACCCTCCCTGAGCAAGCAGGCCGTACACTCGGATGCTCTGAGTCGCAGTTCCCTTACATTTAAAAACAAAACTATCTCCCATCATGTGTCCGAGGATGACATGGAGGAACGCCTGGTGTCTGAGCCGCAGTAACTGCTCAGTAAACTAACGGTGGCGATTTTCATATGAAAGCTGTTATTTAGACGGACTCGCGGGCGAGGCGGCTGGACTTTGTCTAAGTGACTTTCCTGTCTGACAAACCATTGTTCAACCCTTCACGGTAAGTGCTCACTAAACACAGATCTGGTTCTTAGTAACATCAGCCTTTCAGCGACGACAGAGCGACACAGTGACGGGGGAGAACAACGTGCGAGGCAGCACATGTGCAGTGGGAACATGTTTTTCAGAACTTGTATATTTCAGAAAGTGATTAGTGAAAATCACAGTAGTTGTGGCTTACTGAAAAAGGAAGCACGCCACCTGTCAGAATGGCTACCACCCATACATCAACCAGCAACAGTGCCGGTGAGGATGTGGAGGAAAGGGAACTCCGTGCACCGCTGGCGGGATGCCACTGGTGCGGCCACTGCGGGAGGCCGTATGGAGTTTCCTCAGAAGTTAAGGATGGAACTGGCTCTTGACCCAGCGATTCTGGGGATTTATCCAAAGAGACCCAAAAGAATAATTCAAAAGAATAGATGCGCCCCTATGTTCATGGCAATGTTATTTACAATATCCAAAATTTGGAAGTGCCCGTCAGCAGATGAGTGGATAGAAGAGCTGTGGTACATTCACACAATGGAATACTACGAGGCCATAAAAAAGGAGGAAATCTTACCTTTTGCAACAGCATGGATGGGCCTGGAGAGGGTTGTGCTAAGGGAAATAAGCCAGTCAGAGAAAGACAAGGACCACATGATCTCACTTACATGTGGAAGCTGATGAACAAAATAAACTGACCAACAAAATAGAAACAGACTCATGGACAAAGAGAGCAGAGACACTGCTATCACGGGGGAGGGGGACAGGGCTGGGTGGAAACGGTGAAGGGATAGGCAAAACAAAAAGGAAAAGACAAAAACACTCACAGACACAGTGTGGTGATTACCAGAGGGAAAGGGGGCGGGAGGAAAGGGTCCAGGTAAATGTGATGGAAGGAGACTTGACTTGGGGTGGCGAACACACAACACAATACGCAGATGACGGGTTGTAGAACTGGACCCCTGAAACCTAAATAATTTTATTGACCAACGTCACTCCAATAAATTCAATGAAAGAAGTAAATCAATCCTGAAATTCTAAAAATAAAAAAGGAGGCAGTTAACATGAATACATCCAAGTAGAATAACTATGTGCAAGCAATTATTAAAACGTTTTAAACCAATAGTATTAACTTGACAAAATACAGAGGGTACCAAAGGAAGGGCAAATAGGCAAATAAAAATATCTGCTTTATAAAGTCAATGATACGGAACACAGGCCACGGACAAGACCCCGAGGAGCGTGTCCGAAGTGCACACAGCGATGGTGAGAGGACAGACAACTCCTCGCTCTCCGTGACAATGTCAGTATCCCCGTGCTTTCTGCAAGGTGACATACCGCGTCTAGAATCAAAACCATAGGGGCCGAGCCTCAACCTAGGAACCAGGAGGTCACAGTTCGATTCCCGGTCAGGGCTCATGCCCGGGTTGTGGGCTCGATCCCCAGTGTGGGGCGTGCAGGAGGCAGCCAATCAATGACTCTCTCTTATCAATGATGCATCTATCTCTCCCTCCCTCTGAAATTAATAAAAATACATTTTAATAAAACATAGGTACTACAATATTATAAGTGAATATAAAGGCCACAAATGCAAGTTTAAGACACTGAATTGGCCAGTGTAATTCAATTTTCCCAACAGCCTTGTAAACATCACCCTCTATAACATTTTCCTATAACTCCATTTGAGATTCCAGTTAGCTTTTATATAATACTCGAGGCCCGGTGCATGGATTCGTGCACCGGTGGGGTCCCTCGGCATGGCCTGCGGGGATGGGGTTGAAATCAGCAGTCCAACGCCACCTGCCGCTCCTGCCTGCTGCTCCTGCTCATCTCAGTCCCCGCTGCGCCTGCCGCCGCTCATAGGCTCACTGCCACTCCGCTGCGGTCTCTGGGCTGTGGCAGCCAGCCGTGAGCCCTGCGTCTGGTGCCCGTCGGTCAGCTGAGCGGTGCTCCCAATGTGGGAGCGCACTGACCACCAGGAGGAAGCTCCTGCATTGAGCGTCTGTCCCCTGGTGGTCAGTGCGCGTCTTAGCGACCGGTCGTTCGGTTGTTCAGTCATTCGGTGGTTCAGTCGCTTAGGCTTTTATATATATAGACGAATGAATACAGTGGATGATCTGAAGGTGCATTACATACTGGCTAAGAACGCAGCCACGTGTCTACAATGAGTCTTACCTTCGCCTTGTCTCTCATGGAGCCTTTGCCAAGAATGGACATTTTGGTCAAGGTCTCTTCTTGTAAACGCTTCAGAGAATTGCCACGTGGACCCAGAAGCTTCCCCACAAAGTTGAACTAGGAAAAACACAGAAACCAAACTTGTCACACCCGTATCTGAAGGTAACTTTTCACTCCCAAATACTAGGAAACACAGTGGCATGCTCCACATCATTGGTGAATGACAAACAGGTCAGTTCCCGCTACAGGAATCGCGCTGGTTCCACACACCACAGGTAACAGGGCTAAACACGGTAAAATAAAACCACAATTGATATGTTTCTCCATACCAGTCATGCCCGTGATGGCTGTATTTCACAACCTGTAAATGCAGGTAATTTCCCTGACAGCAGGCACACACATTCAACACCCACCATGGACAACGCGAGGGTTAGGACACAGGGGAGGGAAAATGCCGCTACACGTCCGTCCTGCAATGTCCCTCGACTGGTCATAGCGTCTGGGTTCTGCGACCTGGTCAGCACTCAGCCTTGGCCAGTCAACCAATGGAGGCTGACTTCAACATCCCGCGGCTGACAGAAGCTTCGCCATAAAGCCCCCGATCTCTTCGACAACTAGCTATGGGGATGTGGACCACTTACGCAGGCTGGACGCTTCGGGCTGTTTATTTAACAAGCAGAGAAGTGAGTTACTGAAGGACCTGGACACTGAGGCGAGGCTACCTGGGTTTTAAAACCCGGCTTTGCTGAGGAACCCTGGGCCAGTTACCCAACCTCTGCACAGTTGGGCTTCCTCAGCTGTTCAACGGGACTGTCCCGGGGACTCAACTGGTCCATATAAATAGACTGGAGGCCCGATGCATGAAATTCATGCAAGGAGCTCGGCCCCCGCAGCCGCAGCAGCTGCCTCTGCCTAGGCCCCCGCTGCCGCGGCTTTGTCCAGAAGGTTCTCTGGAAGGTTGTCCGGAAGGTCGTTCGGTCTAATTAGCATATTACGCTTTAATTATTATAGATTATTTAGAATGCTTGATGCAAATAGACAATAAGTATGTCTTGAGCGAAAGAATTATCATCTGATATGTCACACAATGTTTGAAGCCTCGCTGTAATGAAGGTAAACCATGAATACTTCTCACTCCCAAACAGAAAGGCAGCCTGTTTACTACCCAGAGAGTACCTGTCCTCTCAGGCACGCTCGTTGGTAACAAACTCATGCCTTCCCTGCTCTGAAGTCGGCCACCGTACAGGGGCCGTGCCAGGGCCGCACTGCTGCTGTTTTTAAGAGAAAATTGTTCCTCCGTTTGCCTTGCTATGATAATTGAAGTCATTTTCCTGAAATACCCACTTTAAGGAAAATCAAAGTACTTTTTCCTTGCCCACTTTTCATTTTATTGGTCTTCAACAAGACTCAAGTATCTATTTTTAACCTTTTTTTGCAACTTTTTCATTTTTTAAATTTATGTAAATTACGGTTTTAAAGTGTATCAGTAGTAGAGAGCTGAAAATATCAGACAAAACTACAAGGTTGGGGGGACCAGTCTCTCGAACCGCCCACCCCTACCTGCTCCTCGTGCCCGATTTTCTCCACTTTTATCTTTTTGGAATTTGTATTATTTGGATTCCGGAGCCCTGGGTTGGATTTCTAAGTTTCCTCTTTTTTCCCCTCTTTCGTCTTCTCACTCTTTAGTTTTCGGAAGATTTAATTACACTAAGCTGGCACATCTATTGATTCTTTCATTTCCACAATCAGAGGTTACACTACTGACAGCATTTTCGTCCTGTGTTCTCTTTATGTTCGTTTAGAAATGTTTATGGAGGTTCCTGTCTTTCTGAGAATCTGAATGGCCATGGCCCTCACCCATCCGAGTGTGTGAACTGGCCTTGTTCTCAGCACGGACAGCCCTCAGCAGAGCGGCCCTCCTCTGCCCCGTCCTCAGCACGCAGCCTGCGGCTCGGGAATGCTGCCTAAAGCTTCCTCTCATGGCACCTGACAATCCGCTGTGCTGGGCAGCCCCGGTTTCCATCACAACCTACTCCAGCCCGGCCGGCGTGGCTTGGTGGTTGAGCATCGACCTATGAACCAGGAGGTCATGGTTTGATTCCTGGTCAGGACACATTCCGGGGTTATGGGCTCGATCCCCAGTGTGGGGTGTGCAGGAGGCAGCCAATCAATGATTCTCTCAACACTGATGTTTCTATCTCTCCCTCTTCCTCTCTCTGAAATCAATAATAATAATAATAATAATAATAATAATAATAATAATAATGCTTTACAAAGCCTATTCCAATTTTGGTATCAACACTTCTTTTCTCCCGGGCCAGGCATCGGCTTGAAGAGGAATGAATAAAAATCACCCACCAGCCTGGCTGGTGTTGCTCAATGGTTGAGCACTGACCTATGAACCAGGTGGTCACGGTTCGATTCCCGGTCTCCTAAGAGGAGGTATCACCTTGGTGGCCAGGATTCCAAGAACCCATCAGTTAGCACAGATACCCCTTGACTTATGTACGGAGTAGCGCCCCCATTTTCAGGTGGCGCCTCGCTCTGGCCCTCAGTGGCATCTCTCCGGGTCTCCTCTGGGGCGGCCTCTTCGGGAAGCCTCGCACCTGGTGCTGGGTTAAGACGGGCAGACGCCGGGCCATCAGCAGGAAGAGCCTCCGGAAACCTCACTTCTTCTCAGACAACCTCCCCCCAAGCCTTCTGTTCCACCCGATAAGCCCCTTCACAGGAACTGCGTCTCCAGCCCCGAGTCTCCCCGAGGTCTGCCCACACTGGCGAGCGGTGTCTGGTGGCTGCTCTCACCTCACCAGCTCAGGGCTCTGGGGCTGTCTCCCTCGGCATCACCATCGTCACCCACCTACTTCGCAGCCGCCGGAATGTTCCTGGCGGCCTTTGCCTATTGTTGTTGTCTCACACGCACCTTATCTTCACGGATTTGTGCCCTTTTTAATCCATTTAGAGCCATGTGAGCGGGTTTCGAGGATGGTGTAAAGTTACATTGAGGCGGTCAAACAGCCATATTCACATTTCTTTAACAGTCACATATCCCCGGTTAAGAGCTGGAGTCCTTGGAAGTCAGCCGGCCCAAGCATCTCATTTCACTCTGAGGAGACGGAAGTCCACGGAGTGCTACGATTTGTCAAGGTCACTTGATGAAGCAGAAAAACACAGGGATCCATATAAGAAGGAGAAGCCCTGGCTACGGTTCTATGTACCTGTAGGCGTTTCTCTCTCCATTTAGCTTCTGTGAGCATTTTGTTCACAGAAAGTACGTGAAGGAGCGCTCTGACAATCAGAAGGCCTGCTATTCCTGTCTTTGCTCAACCACGGATTGTGTATTAGTTCCATCTCCTCATCAGGTTAACCCTCGCAAGGCTCTCTCTCCTCCTCCACCACACAGGGGTCACGCCACCTACTGCGGGTGCCCGTCGTGTGAATTAAACACAAAAGTGAATGAAAATCACCCACCTGCCCAGCCGGTGTGGCTCAGTGGTTGAGCATCAACCTATGAACCAGGAGGTCACAGTTTGATTCCCAGTCAGGGCACAGGCCCGGGTTGTGGGCTCGATCCCCAGGGTAGGGAGTGCAGGAGGCAGCCGATCAATGATTCTCTCTCATCATTGATGTTTCTGTCTCTCTCTCTCCCTCTCCCTTCCTCTCTGAAATCAATAAAAATATATTAAAAACAAGCAAACAAACAAACAAAGATCAAGTGCCGAGCACTGGGACAACGTGAATTTCACCGGAGCCCTGGGCCCTGCGTGACAGTGACGTTGACAAAGTCCTCAGAGCTGGCAATGGCTTCCTCCGAAGAACTTCTCTCCTCAGGTGAGACCCGTGATGACCCCGTTTACCCACAAGGCCAGGCACAGGCCTCCAAATTCCCCTGCTCTGCTCCCTAGAAGCCGGGCTGGCCTGGTGGTTCTCACAGACCATCAGAAAGTGCTCCCTCACCTGCCTTGATCACACACCAGTCAGGGATCCTCTTCAGGCAGGGCTGTTGTTTTATGTGGTAACTGGATTTGCAATCAGACAGTAAGAACTTACATTTTTAAAGGATTTTATAAAACTGATCTTCAGAGAGAGAAGAAGGGAGAAGGAGAGAGAAAGAAACATCCACATGAGAGTGAAACATTGATCGGCTGCCTCCTGCACGTCCCCTACCGGGGACTGAGCCTGCAACCCAGACATGTGCCCTGAGCGGGAATCCAACTGGCAATCTTTCGGTGCATGGGACGATACCCAACCAACCGAGCCAGGGCTGAACCTGAATACATTTTAACTTTCATTTTTATTAATGACTAGCGGCCCGGTTCATGCACCGGTGAGTTCCCTCGGCCTGGCCTGTGGGGATCGGGCTGAAACCAGCTCTCCGACATCCCCTGAGGGGTCCTGGATTTCGAGAGGGTGCAGGCCAGGCCAAGGGACCCCACTGGTGCATGATCGGGGCTGGGAAGGGACCGTGGTAGGGCTCCAGGGCGTGTCCGGCCGGTCTGGCCCAGTCCCGATCAGCTAGACCCCAGCAGCAAGCTAACCTACTGGTCAAAGCATCTGCCCCCTGGTGGTCAGTGTGCATCACAGCAACTGGTCGAACGGTCAAACGAATGGTCAGACACTTAGCATATTAGGCTTTTACTATGTAGGATGTCGCTCTGTGCATAGATGTGTACAGGTGAAAGTGTTACCATAACCACAACCACTGACTTTTCTTCAGGTGCTAATTATTCTATGACAAATATATATTACATTATAGATGTTACAGTTGCAAACAGAAAGTTTTCCCAATGGTTGTGAGGATGGTGAATCAGCATACAGTAAGACAGCGGAGTTTCACTGCGTACTGTGTGCCATCCAATAATTAGGTCCTTTGTTGGGGAGGCCTGGTGTCCTGAACCCGCCGTAATTGATCTAAGCTGTATGTGTGACTTGACCCTGCTCCTGGGGGAACAATTAGTTACGCTGTCATTTCATAAACAATGAAGCTTCCGGAACATGTCACTGTCTCCATTCAAATGTGTCCCCTAATTGGCTGCTCCCCAAAAGGCTGATGAGTCTGACAGAGGGCTGCCTGGCTGCCCTCTAACTCAGCCTGGAACTGAACTCGTAGCCTCTGCCAC